AGGGAGGGAGGGAGGGAGGGAAGGAGGGAGAGAGGGAGAGGGGGGGGAGGGAGGGAGAGAGAGACCTGACTCCCTCTTCCAACAGCCATCCAGTTAATAGCTATTCAACCTGTGGTAGGATTACATCCCACCTTCTCTCCCATTATGCTGGATTTTATATTGCTGGAGCTTGTGAAAGTTTGTACATGCTGTCACAATCACTGTGAGTTCATCTATGGTTGTGTTTTGTTAGGTCTGGAAAACCATTTTCTTAATGGTACTCACCACCTGTGGCTCTTACCATCTTTCCACAACCACCACCACCCTTCCACAAAGATCTTCAAGCCTTGGGGTAAAAAAATAAATGCCCAGCTTGGTGCTGAGCACTCTATAGCCTTTTGTTTTCTGTATGTTGGCCAGTTGTCATTCTCAGTGTTAACTGCCATCTATTTCAAAGAGAAGTTTCTCTGATGAGAGTTGAGGAATGCTCTTATCTATATGAATACCAGTAAGTCACTGGAAATCATTTTAATATTATTTAGCAGTGTAGATGTATTGGATTCCCTTCTGGGACCTAGGCTCTAGCTAGCCAGAAGTTGTTAGCCTTTGTAATAATGCCATGTATCTGAGTTCTATCTTACAGAGCAGGCCTTGGAATCAATCATAAAGTTGTTGGTTGCTCACATAACATCTATGCCACAATTGCACCGATGGACCTACCTCGTCAGGCCAGTCATTGCTGTAGCTTACGGTGTTCACAGGTGGGTAAGACTGAGGCTTTCTTTTCTCCTCGGGCAGAATGCTTAGCACCTTCTAGCACCATGAACATAGCCACAGGGATAAAGTTTGCAGTTGAGTACCAACTTTATGTCTCTGTGTTCTATGATTTAAGTATATAGTATCTTCAGCAATAGGGTCTTAACGTCAAGTTTTAGAGCAGTACTGGCAACAGCCTGTAATTCTCGGTTCTATATGACCCTATTGGGCAATAATACAAAGATAAGTAACCTATTCCTGATTCTGTGGTTTATATTTTGCTAGCATGAGGTGTCTAAACACCCCAAAACAGTATTCTTAAAGTATGAGAAAAGATCTTGACTTGATATGATAGATAACTTTATATACCAACTTAATCGGACCACAAGGTACTCAAATATTTGGTTGATCATTATTTTGTCAGTGTCTGTGAGGGTGTTTCTGGGAAATGTCAACATTTTAATCAATCAATAGATGGAGTAATGCAGATGGTCTTTCCTCACAGAGACACCACAACTCATCCAATCCACAGAAGGCCAAAATACAATAAAAGGCAGAGAAGAAAGAATTTTTTTCTCTCTGCCTCACTGGTAATCTGGGGCATCAGTCTTCCTCTGCCTCCATGCTTGGTCTTTGTCAAGAATTTACACCATCGTCTCTCCTGCTGCTCAGTCTTTGGATTCAGAATAGGACTAGACCATCTGTTGCCCTGAGTCTTCAGCTTCCCAACCACACAGCTTTCTTCTTGGCCACCAAAATTGCCTAAGTCAAATCCTTGTAGTGAGTCTATCCCTATATACCATTATTTCTGATTCTGTAGAAAAGCCATATTAATGACTTGAAAGTAACTTAAGATTTCTCCAGAAACAAGGTGCTAGAAGGTGCTTAAATTTCTTAATTTAAGAAGTTCATTTGGGAGATAATCTCTAGGGAGTCTGATAGGGAAGTCATGGAATAAAATAGGGGTGGAAGGTAGAAAAAAATGCAAGCAAGTTGCCAGAGAGAGCAACTGGGGCTTAATATGCTGGGAGATTGTTTAATATATAGCCACCAGGGACCAATGTTGTCCTAGCCCAAAGGACTTTTCCACCCATGTCCACCAGGGACCAATGAATGGCTTCTCCCCGCCCTTTGACAGACATAAATTCCCTGACCCAGGTGGTGCTCAATATGACAAAAGCAAAACTGGACATAGAAAATTGTTGGGCAAACAGTCCCTGCTACTCATATTTGGAAGTCAGGCTAGCATGTCAATAAATGAAGTTTTCAAAAAATAAGTAGGATACCAAGAGATCTAACACAAAAGCAGACACTCAACCGATCCCATTTTGCATCTTTGAGGATATGAACTAACATTCTTGACTTATAATGTAGCCTACTGCACTAGACACTTGCATCATCTCTAAGATTCCCAACAACCTTGCAAATCAAGTATGATCCTAATTTTGAGACCAGTGAAACTAAGGCATGGAGACTTGGTCAAGGTCACTGCTGCTTGAAGGCCTTCCATTTAAAAATTATGTAGCTACTTAAATGTGCCATAAGGTGCTCAGATATTTGATCGAACATTATTTGGATTGGTATTTGGGAATTTCGAGAAAGTAAAAATTCACCTTTAAACATGAATAGACCTGAAAACACAGCACATGAAATGAGGAAGACCTCTCTTGTGGATCACCTGTTCTTCCATTACCCTGAAAAGATGCTTGTCTGTAGCCCTAGTTTCATTGTTTCAACACTCTAACAATAAACAAGCCTCCCCTTGCCCCACATAATCACATCCTAACATGGCAGTTTAAGCTTCTCTTCTAGCCCAGTCTAGAGGGAAGAAGGAAGTTCCACTCACTCGTCATTCTCCATGTCCCACTGAGAGCAACATCTCAAAAAGAAAGGGTTCCAACTGGATCAGACCCTCTGGATAAGTGAGACAGTTGATTAGCTTGATCTGTTTGGGAGGCATCCAGGCAGTGGGACTGGGTCCTGTCCTCAGTGCATGAGCTGGCTGTTTGGAACCTGGGGCTTATGCAGGGACGCTTGGCTCAGCCTGGGAGGAGGAGACTGGACCTGCCTGGACTGAATCTACCAGGTTGAACTCAATCCCCAGGGGAGTCTTTGCCCTGGAGGAGATGGGAATGGGGGGTGGGTTGGGAGGAAGGTGGGGGGGGGGGGGGGTGGGGGGGGGGGGACAGGAGGGGGGAGGACAAGGGAATCCGTGGCTGATACGTAAAATCAAATTAAATTATAAAAAAAATTTAAAAATTTAAAAAAAGAAACGGTTCATTTCCTAGCATCTGTGTAATATTTAACCTGGTTCTCACCATCTAGATGAGAACACATCTACTTAGCCATAAAACCAACATAAGGGCTCTTGTGAGGACCATGTCAGGCAAATAGGGACTGAGAACCAAAAGGAAACAACTGAGATATTCCAGGGATACAGACTTGAAACCTAGAGGTAGCTAGAGCAGGCCAGACATCTTCAGGACATTACTTTTTCAACTAGGCAATATTAAGTATTTGCATCTACTAAATTCAAAAAGCTTCTATTGACTGACCACCGGACACAAGAGAATGAGGAAGAAAATGCAGTAGAGACGGAAGAAACCAGCTGAGCACCATCTCCAGGGAATCCACTGGTACAATCTTAGCTCAGCCTCTGACAGTGGTGCTAACCTTTTCTCATGCTGCAATCCTTGAGTACAGCTCCTCATGCTGTGGTGACCCCCGACCATAAAATTATTTGGTTGCTACTTTGTAACTATAATTTTGCTACTGTTATGAACCATAATGTAAATATCTGATACACAGGATATCTGATATGCAATCCACAGGTTGAGAACCATGTGAAACAGTTTGAACATCTGTCTTCTACTTTTCTTCAGGAAGCATAAATACAATCAACCCACAGAATTAAACTGCCCTGTTGTCAATCAATTATTCATTCTGGATCTGCCAACAACCTCTCATGCAATGCACTTACAGGCTACTTCTTATCTTCTCTTGGAAACAATGTTCTCTTTGGAACAATTCACGGTACTACATTTTTTTCATTATTTTATCTTATTTATTTTCATGTCTTTCCCAGGGTAACACTCCCTCTAGTGTCTGTATAGGGCTCTCAGGTTCCATCCTGGGTGCGCAAAATGAAAGCAAAAAGAGAATGCAAGCCATTCACTGAATGGGTAAGATTAGTACAAATTAATTGGTAGATTCTGTCAATATGATCATCCTGAAGAAAGAGGCTAGCTGCAGATACCTGCAGATATTCCCTTTTAACACCAAACATAGCTACGAGATAGAAGAACAATGAAGCACTAAGGTCCATTCCCAGACATGGATGTGGGAATGTCTTTGATACTAAGGCCTCTGCTTACCAAGCAGCCCCAGCATCCTGTGTTCTCCTATTTTCTTAAAGCTACACACTTGACTTTCTTCCAGAAATGTCTTATGATTCCTGGTGAGGTGTAAACACTAATAATACCCAAGCCAAGAAAAGTTCCTCCCATTTCCCTGGATCCCTTAGCCCTCCACACAATAAAAAGCCCTGGGAAAAACATTCATCTTACTTCCCTTATTTGCCATCAGGCTTATAGCTGATTCTAGCCAAAATGATTCTAACCATTTCCATTGCAAATTCTAGGTAGAAGTTTCAGGACACCAGAACCCTCTCAGCCGCCCTGTTGTGGGTCTCTTTCACTGTTCCTGTCAGCACTACATAAAAATCAGATGTCATGGAGACCTGGTTGGAAAACAGAGGCTGTGGGAGGTGGTTGAAATGAGCATTCTGCTGATGCCTGTGTCTCCTGGATGCTTTACCATTCGCTCCTTGGCAAACTGTGGGCAAGTAGCTCCTTCCTCTGCTTCAACATTTCCATGTGAAAACCAAGTGAAGCCTTGTTTCCAGATATAAAAGCAGACCTAAGCCAATGGCAAAAATATATGGAACACGTACTACAGAATGGCTGGGTACTTCTTGTGAGAACTCTGCTGCATATAATCTCATTTAAAATCCTTTCAGCTGGCCCCTTTGTACGAGCTGAGAGAAGGTAACAATTTTCTAGTGCCAGCCACATAGCTATTCAGAAACAGAAAGAGGATTGAACCAGCCTGTCTCTGAAATCCACTTTTTACATTCCCCGTCTATCCATTTGCAATAAATCCTGAAAAGATTTGCATTCAGGATTTAATCCCTCCATGAGTATTAGTTCACACATATGATAAACCATATGTCATACCACTTACCCATGCAAAATAATCCACACTTTACATCAAGTGGAATCCCTAATTATCCTGTATAGCTTTATCTCAAGCTTTTCCCCTTAAGCTACATTTTCTTCAGCATTTGTGAAGACACAGAGCCCTACTTAGAAATGGACACAGTTTTATTGACCAATATTCCTGAAAAGCTGATCTATCTGTACTGCAAATCCTTCTCACCTCAGCAAAGAAGGAAGCATTTCCTCCACTGCCCAGGATGGACCCAATAACAAAAATCTACTGTGCAACCTTAAAGTTCTGAGACTCCATTATTTTGTCTACATTTACTATGGAACATTTCTTGGTGTTCTATAAAAAAAAACAGCATTTCCATAAATAATTAAACTCAAACACATACAAAAAAAGCCAAAACAAGCAACTATATTTGATTGACTCACTAATTCAAATAGTCAGGTGATTTACCAAGACTCCCATCAGCAATTGTTAGTAAGATACAGCTCATCCAATATTAAGGAGCCCATTATTTATTGCCTCCATCCACTGTAGTGGGTGGACAGAGTGACTATGGGGATGCTGCAATGTGGATGTGAAGTGTCCACCACAGGCTCATGCACTTGAATACTTATACTGCACAAATGACACTGTCATGGAAGGTTGTGGAACCTTTAGGATGGGAAATGGCTTTCAGAGAAGGTTCACTGGGGATGGATCTTTGAGGGTAATAACCTAGTCCCACTTTGAGCCAAGCTTTGTGCTTCTTTCTTTGACTCCCATGATGTGACTAGCCACTTCACACTCCTGTGATATGGACTTAGCCACCCCTGACACCATGCCTTCTCTACCATGATGGAACGTGTCCTCTGAACCTTGAATCCAAATGAGTTTTTCCTCCCTTGAGCTGCTTCTGCAGATATTTGGTTATAGTGACATGAAAAACAATCCAAGATGGAGGAATCTATTTTACTCTTACATACAGCCATTCTAGGCCTCAGTCTACTCTACCTATAAAATGGGTAGTACTATACTTTACTCAAATAAAAGTACAAGTATGTGAACACTTCTGGAAAGAAAATGCTTTGTTAACTTGAAGGAATAATGAGAAAATCAAGAAGAAATAGGAGAGTCTATTCTTAGACAAAAGAACAGTTGGGATACAGCTGTAGGATGTGATGTTGCTGTCTAAGCCTTGTGCCTCATCCCCATGTTGAGTAATTTGATGAAGACAGTTCCTAGGAGCACCTCCAGCCTTGGCATTGTGTAGGTGTAAGATGCCTGTAGTATCTCCCACAGTGATGCTTTCTCCTCTAAGCTCATAGCCTCAAACAATAGCTCAACAATTAGCCACACATTACCCCATGGCTTTTGTCTTGTTGTCATGTGTTATTTAACTTTACAGAAGAGCAGGCTTACATCCAAAGCATACAAGAGGGACCTTGAGGCAAATGCTGTCGAATATTTGTTTCTCACCCCTCCATCACATCCCTATCAATCCCTAGTAGCCAGAACAACAGCACATAGACATCAAATGCTCAGCAAATGGCTGAACAGCCTGTGTGAGTAGATATCTAATCTCTGAAATACATGAGAAGTCAGGATCATTGACTTGTCCTTATTTCTATCCCCTTTCAAGTGGAGTAAGGACCTCATGGAATCTAAATTGTGCTAAAATGCACATATAAGTGGTCAGGGAGACAGCCTCGTCAGTAAAGGGTTTAGCGTACAACACCACTTTTGAAGATGCTGGTCAATGAAGTACCAAAGATCTCTCTCCTCTTAAAAATTGCAGGCTATTGTCAATGCCATTGATTTCCCTGCAGAACATGATGGTAAACCCCTATTGCTAAAAACAACGTATGCTTAAGTCATAGAGCATGGACCAATTAAGCTGGCACTGACCTGGAAGCCTCACCCCTATTGGCTAGCTTTCATAGTGCTATGCACACTACTAGAGGACAAAAGTAATCATCAGTCTTACTCAGCTATTAACTCTGAGAGTTGATATAAGGAAAGACATGCCCACTGGTACAATAGTGGTGCAAATGTCACAGGAGTGACCAACCACTTTCTGATTGGATTTTAGCACCACTGCACAAGATGAAACCCATACCTGACACAATTATCATAGCTAAGAACCTGTGGCTAGGTAGCTCATGAGGCCTACATTATTCTGTTGAAATGACGTAGTGAAAACCTGAGTTCAATACCTAACACGTACATAAAAAGCCAGGCATAGAAGCACATGCCTATAACCTCACCAGCACTGAGGAGACAGAGACAAAAAAAAAAAAAAAAAAAAAAAAAAAAAAAAAGATGGGAGGTTGCTAGCCAGCCAGTCTAACCAATCAAAGAGCTCCAGGTTCAGTAAAAGACCACAGGTCAAAAACTAAGGTAGAGAGTGATTGAGGAAAGCACTCAACATTGACCTCTGGCATCCCTATACACATGCACACACATGTACATGCACCTACACACACACAAACACACATGAACATGAGCACACATCTAAAGAAATTCCCATATGAAATAACAAACTGAACACTTACATTCAATATTATTAAGAGAAGTTATTAACCCATTTGTCATCTGAGACTAAAAATGATTTCCCTCTTTCCCATAGTTTAGACACCATCTATCTCCCCAGAGCAAAATGCTACTGAGTCATGGGGCACATATAAGAACAGAATACACAATTGATTATAGAGTATTTATTAAACTATTAATATTTCATCACTCACCCACAAATACTGAAAAATATAAGATTAGAGTAAAAAAATCTACTAAAAATGATCAAATGTGTGGTGCAGTATATAAATCCTCTAAGTCACTCGGAAAAGGGAAATAAATGTTTCTTAGGAAGGTTGTGTAGAGGCCTGTGTTTGTGTCTTAAACTGAGGCATGAATGGGTGCACTGTAACAGAAGGAGCATGTCTCAAGTGGAGGAGGTCTTGGAGCAGAGCCAGTCAGAAGCCTGGAACAGGGGACAAGCCCTGCAGAGGAGCTGACCATGGGGCAAATCACAAGTTGCAAGAGTGGACCTAGGACACTCAAGACATGCAAGTTAAAGGCCTTTAATGCCATAACATAGGACTTTAGATTTGAATTCAAGAAGCTCACACTGGAATGGAGATGTGCAAAAACAAGTGATTGCTGGGTATAGTGTCTGTTGAGTTAGGAAATCATATCTCTGACAGTGCTTTCAAATTTGCTTGTAGATTGTGCTCCATGAAAGTGGGAACTACCATTCATTCATCCACTTACCCAACCATCACTTAGTACCTAAGTGAGGCAAAGTACCCTTGATCCACTGCTTACCAAGAAGATGAGGTTCTGTCCAATCCTTTTGCCAGCCTCCAACACACAGAATAATAATCATGGTTAGCTAAATTCCCTTCATGCCTCAGAGCTAGTCCAGCTCTCTGTGTGTGTGGACGTGTGTGTGTGTGTGTGTGTGTGTGTGTGTGTGTGTGTGTGTGTGTGTGAGAGAGAGAGAGAGAGAGAGAGAGAGAGAGAGAGAGAAGAATATATTCTACATTTTCTACTTCTTTTTCTAATGGGTCTCTTGTCTCCCAAATTGTCTATTGAAACATGCTTTGCATTTTCTCCCTGTAAGAGAAATGTCTCTCAGCACCCAAAAGGCCAAAGGAAGGTAGAAAGGAGGAAATCTACAGTTGGGCAGGTAGATGTAGCCACAGGCCTCAGATGACTTGCCCATCTGTACCTAGTCCTTAATAAACTGCTAGCCTCCAGGTATGGACCGTGTGTCTGTGTGTCTGGCTCTGTCATACTTCTCTGTTCCTTGTGAGACGACTCTGGTCCACAGATCTCTGCTCCCAGATTTCCCCTAGTAACAACAGAGTATACAGCTAGAGAAAAAAAAAAATAAAATAAAAGAGCTTCCAGAGCTTTCTTACCACTGGATCCACCAAACCCCTACTCTTAAGCCCAACACAATTGGGGAATCCCCTACTCAACAGCTTCCCTTCCCTGCCAATCAAAACGCAAGTTCCAAATACTGCATTTCAGCCATCACTAAATAAGGCCCCCAGGTGAAGGCATTTGCTTCTCTGCTCACCTTGGAAACCACCACAGGACCTGAGAAGCAAATCAGAGCCAGTAACCCAGCCATCTGAGAGCTCTTGGAGCAGACAAACAGTTCACCCCTCCTCCCCACACCCCAACTCCTGGCGGACAGTGACCGAGAGCAATTAGTGCTGTTGTGTCCCCGTGTGTTTCCCAGCTCTGTCTCAACTGAGATGCCTTTCCTTGTAATATTAATTAAAAACAGATTTTTTTGGCAAACCCCTGAAGAATGGTTTCTGCAGCAGGCTTCTTTATTAAGCCTCAGAGAAGGCAAAATGCATTAAGATATTGTGTCACTGAGACGCTGAAGACCAAGCAATCCAGCCAAAAGCCGTTTGAAAAATCTGTTTAGGAGCACAGTGAACTGCTCTAGTGAGTGAAATACAATGAATCTGATTACATATGTCACTATTTTGCACATTAGGAGTAAATATTTTAGAGCACAGGCTAACTGCATTAGCTAAGGGTAAAAAAAAAATCCCACCTCTTTGTATATCTTCTAACTTGCTCCATGTCTGGCAGGGACCTAGAATGACCCTGCATCTCCTCATTTCTCTTCACTAAGGTTTCAGGTTGGGCACA